TATAATAATATAATAATATAATAATATAATAATATAATAATATAATAATATAATAATATAATAATATAATAATATAATAATATAATAATATAATAATATAATAATATAATAATATAATAATATAATAATATAATAATATAATAATATAATAATATAATAATATAATAATATAATAATATAATAATATAATAATATAATAATATAATAATATAATAATATAATAATATAATAATATAATAATATAATAATATAATAATATAATAATATAATAATATAATAATATAATAATATAATAATATAATAATATAATAATATAATAATATAATAATATAATAATATAATAATATAATAATATAATAATATAATAATATAATAATATAATAATATAATAATATAATAATATAATAATATAATAATATAATAATATAATAATATAATAATATAATAATATAATAATATAATAATATAATAATATAATAATATAATAATATAATAATATAATAATATAATAATATAATAATATAATAATATAATAATATAATAATATAATAATATAATAATATAATAATATAATAATATAATAATATAATAATATAATAATATAATAATATAATAATATAATAATATAATAATATAATAATATAATAATATAATAATATAATAATATAATAATATAATAATATAATAATATAATAATATAATAATATAATAATATAATAATATAATAATATAATAATATAATAATATAATAATATAATAATATAATAATATAATAATATAATAATATAATAATATAATAATATAATAATATAATAATATAATAATATAATAATATAATAATATAATAATATAATAATATAATAATATAATAATATAATAATATAATAATATAATAATATAATAATATAATAATATAATAATATAATAATATAATAATATAATAATATAATAATATAATAATATAATAATATAATAATATAATAATATAATAATATAATAATATAATAATATAATAATATAATAATATAATAATATAATAATATAATAATATAATAATATAATAATATAATAATATAATAATATAATAATATAATAATATAATAATATAATAATATAATAATATAATAATATAATAATATAATAATATAATAATATAATAATATAATAATATAATAATATAATAATATAATAATATAATAATATAATAATATAATAATATAATAATATAATAATATAATAATATAATATAATAATATAATAATATAATAATATAATAATATAATAATATAATAATATAATAATATAATAATATAATAATATAATAATACAATAATTTGATAATATAATAATATAATAACCAGTGGCGCCTCCTTCTCAGAGCGCGCACCTATATGTGTCGCGAGAATCAAAAAGACGATTTTATCTAACAAATCTAACAATTTTATTCCTAATATTTACTTATTCATTTAACATTAACGTATACTGCATAGATAATAAACGAAAAACGCAGGAAAAATCAAATGCTTGGAAAAGTTAAAAATTCAAATTGCTGCTGCAAAAGGTGATTGCAGGCCGCAAAACTCGAATAATCGTATCTCCTCTTCCCAAATTGTCCATTTTTCTGCACAATCTGAGCGTCAGTTAGGGAGACATTACTGTGTTAGGCGAAGCAAGGAATGACGATGGCACTTTGCACGTCGAACGCCGATATCGTGATTCTATTGTAATCTTATTTTTATAACAATGTAAACAACACCTTCGCGTAGGATCGGCCTAAAAATATTCGAAACATCTTGAAACTTGAGAATACGTTTTTATTTTCATTGAAATTACAATTGAACAATCGAACCTACCATCGTCGAAATGACCGATTTTTAATTTAACGATGCAACAAACTTTGGAGACTTTCTTCGTGGGAAATGCGATTGAATAAATTACATTATTGAGGCAAGTTTTATAATTAAAACTTCGCAAAATCCAAATGAATTCTATGTTCTCGGTCTTGCGAGTCAGTGCGCAACACAGTCGCCGTTACAGCTCGGTACGTTCGCTGCTAATTAATTTATAACTTTACTATAATAAATTTCCGATATGTATTGTTAGTATGCAGAACAATGCGCATGCTGATAATAACCGAATAGTGGGTTGTACAGCATAATGAAAGGAGAGAAAGGAACGACGAAGGCAGAGAAAAGGTCGGCGGAGTCTTTTTTGCCCAAATACAATAATTTCTCGCGCATGGTCCTTCGGCTTGGTAACAAAAAGTGGACAACTTGGGTGGAGGAAATACGATTATTCGAGCTCCGCGGCGATGTTTTTATAATTCTTGATAATCGGCGATTGTAAAACGGGGCTGGGCAAAAATAGATTTCTGTAATTGCAAATGGACTATAAATATAATATAATGCACAGATATAATATAATAATACAATAATGTAATAATATAATAATACAATAACACAGTAATGTAATAATGTAATAATGTAATAATAGAATAATACAATAACACAATGATATAATAATGTAATATATATAAATGTAATAATATAATAATATAATAATACAATGATATAATAATGTAGTAATATAATAATGTAATAATGTAATAATACAATAATATAATAATGTAATAATGTAATAATATAATAATATAATAATACAATAATACAATGATACAATAATATAATAATGTAATAATATAATAATACAATAATACAATAATACAATGATACAATGATACAATAATATAATAATATAATAATACAAGAATACGATAATACAATAATGTAATAATGTAATAATATAATAATATAATAGTATAATAATACAATAATATAATAATGTAATAATATAATGATACAATAATACAATAATACAATGATATAATAATGTAATAATGTAATAATGTAATAATATAATAACATAATAATATAATAATGCAGGATGACAAATAAACTCTTTTTCAAATAGTAATTACACACGAATGTTACATAGTCAAATATACATTGAAACTGCTGATTTCCATACATAACTACTATTATATTTCAAGAAAAGTTAACCCGTCAAATTCTCTATAAAACACCGAAAGCACGTGTTCGCAGTGTCCTGTACAAAGCCTCGCGATAATTATTCTGTCTTTCCCCTGGAAGTTGTCGGTGGATACGCGTGCATTGTTCGCGATAAGATCG